CCCGCCCGCGGGGCCCCCAGCCGGGGGGCCTTCGTAGCCTCTTTGGGGGGGGTTTCTCGGGACCTGGGCACCCTGGGCATTGGGCACATCCCAAATATTTTGGAACCCCTTTTTTAAGAGCAGGCAAAGGAGCCGCAGCCGCCCCCGCCATTCCCCCGCCCCGTCCGGCTCCATCCCCAGCCGGGATCGGCGCTGAATAACCAATTCGGCGCCTATTAGGGCTGAGCCTTGGCGAGAATTACAATAAGCTGGAAAAACCCAGCCTGCAGGATGAGTGATTTCGGGCAGGCAGACAGGCTGTTTTCCAGAAGAGTTTCTACATGTGTGAGGTTATTAAGTGCCCTGGGTTATTTTTTTTTCCCACCCCCCCCTTCTTTTGTAGCCTAATAAATAGCAGCAGAAAGGAAAAGCGCGTTGGGGCGGTTTTTTTCCCCAGCTGTAGGCACCGACCGAACGTGCCCGGAACGGCAGCTGCACTGCAGCACTCGCTGCATCGCCGGGGCTCCGGTCCCATCCCTGTCCCCACGCGGGGTCCCCCTCTCAGGACACCCGAGGCTGAGGGTGCGGGGAAGGTGACCAAGGTCCCTGCGTGGCAGGCGGTGGCATCGTCCTTGTCCCGGCGAGCCTTTCCCCAAAGCTTTATCTCAGCCCCCTCAACCTGCGTTACCGCGCCCGCTGGTGCTGCGGCGGCGTTTGGGGCGATAAATCCAGGCTGGGTTTGAGGGCGGGGGGCGATCGCCGGCACCGGTGGAGGGGAGAAGTGGGAAGAGGCTTGGAGAGATGCTGCGGGGCAGGGCTCGAGGGGGGCTTGGCTGCTGACGGGCCCCCCCGCGGCTCCGTGTCGGCCCCGGGGCTGCCCCTGCGGCGAGGGACGCGGCATCTCTGGCACCGGGAAGGAGTAACCGCGGCACGGGACCCTCCTGCGCGGAGCTGCCGAGGTCCAGGGACCCCCTGTGGTGCCCGGTCCTGTGCCCCTGGCACAGCTCCGTGCCCAGGGCTCACTGCACGGGTGACAAGTGGTACCTGGGACACTTGTGTGGGATGGGATGGGAGGGGAGGGGAGGGGAGGGGAGG